TTCACTGCTCACATAAACTCTGTCAAGCATTTGAACTGCTGAGAAAGCTTAAGTCCCTTTAACTGTACTCCGTGGAACATATGAGTGAAAGATGCATCTTGATGTACACCCTAAAAAATCTGAAGGGATTGGCTCCTAACTTGCACACTGAAATCATTCCATACGAAAACATGAGGCTAGGTAGAAGGTGCGAAATATCTCCAATGAGAGGTGGAGGCGCTGAGTACGCTGAGAGAACTCAGTAACTGTTAAAGGACCAAAATTTTTCAACACCCCTTTTTCATACTTAAGGTGAATTACCACCAAACCCCACCCCTGGCTGTCTTCAAGAAGACAGTCTATTCCCGAACAGCCGGGCTTTGATGCATAACGTATACTGTTTACGGCTGGTACCAGCAGCCTATTTAATCAGACCAACAACGGCGAGGCCTGGTTTGGGACCGGGGCCACGGGAGTGGTGACCCGGATATACTCTCCAGGAAGACTTCCGGTAGTGTTGCGGGTTATCGTGGGCCCCCGAGTACCAGAATGCGTGTAGTTCACTGGTTTTCACGGGGTGCGAGAAATACTCTCGCCTAATGGGCAGACATTTTTCTTCTAGAACTCCGGCAGGGAGTCACGACGCTCCTACACAACACAGATAATGGTGACGCTTTCAGCATATTAATCTGCAGAGAGCCACATATTAGTCGAAGTTAACATGCAAAGACGGGAGGGGAAAAACTTCATTTTCTTTATCCCCCCCCCAAGTCTAAGTCGCTGTGTTACACGATGGTACTTCAGGCAGAACTGACGCGTCTGTCTTTCTCCCGTCCGTCTGTCTAGTGTGTATGCGTCTTGTCTCTCCCGTATATCTATCCCGTCAGTCGTTTTTCTTACGTCTTTTTTTTCCCTTATCTCTTTCTCTTATCTATCTTTTATATGTCCTTTTTTCTTGCCTTCCACCTCTCCTTCCCCCCATCTCGCCTGCCTTCCTCCTGTCAGTGTTTTTCTTCTCTGCCTTTCTCTTTCTCTCGTCTGCCCTCTTGCTGCCCTCTTCAAGAATGCCAAGTGCCTAATAAATAAGGCTGAGGAAGGAAAGAAGCAACATATTTACGATCGGAACTTAGGAAAAGGGGAAAGAGAGAAACTAAGATAGAAATAGAATATGGAAAATTATGGCCATAATAAAGACTGTAGGTTGTATTAGCCGTTCCGGTATCACTGTGTTAGTTTACGCTGACTGGGACTCTTTATGACTCTATTAAAGAAGTTAATACAAACCTTCCAAAAGAATCACTTTAAGTCTGCATTAAAATGGAATATGCACAAATTTAGAGTAATTAGAAGACGTGTTTCTAAACATAAAGACTGCTCTATCTTATTTGCCACAGAGCCGACATCGAGCACAGCCTAAGAAGGGAACAAAACTTTACGAAGTTCCTGGAGAGCGAAACATTGCCGCAGTTAAATGTCACATTAATTGCGCCTCCGACCTTTTACTTAACAAGTGAGTGGGGCTTCAAAATCAGTAGATTCTACTGAAATACATCCTTAAACCTCAATGGTTTGGGTGGCCCGCTTCATACCTATGAGCTTAGAGGAAAACAGGCTATTAAAAAGAAACCGAGATATTAATAATGGCTATAGACTCTGAAGAAATAGATTGTTACTTATAACGAAATCACTACTGGCAATTACATATGCAATATTGAACACATCATTATAATCAGTAATAGTGTACATAAAGGATGAAATAGCTTACATTGTCAAGAGTGTAATTGAGGCCGAAGTGAGGGCTGACCCAGGGCAAGGTCGGCGAGTGAAAGAAAATAATAAGGAAAAGAAACACCAGGTGAATCACGCCATGAGTTAGGAAGCTGGATAATAGGTGGCGTTGATATTCACGAACCTAAAAGCGTAGAGTAACAAGGGGCAAGAACCACTGGCATTCATCCTAATGTAACTGTTAACATTTTAGTGTACTCTTTTCTTTCACTGTAAGCAGTCTACAGGTTTCTCTTGTTCATTTCAAGAGTTATTATCTTTGTTAGGTGAAGTTAGAGGTCTTCTTGTAAAGAGCCGAAGGTCCTTTGAAAGAATGAGAGTAGGGATGATTTTTGTAAATTATTCCTGCTTATTTAGGCTACAGAGCTGTATAGTCCTTGTGGCTTAGCGCTTCTTTTTGATTATAATAATAATTAGGCTACAGAGTATCTTTGATGGTATGTTATCTGTTTCTTAGACATCTGCAAATTATAATGCTTTGATTCAGAACGCCAACAGTTTGAGACTGAAATTTAGTTCTTAGTTTGTCTTTCTAAGGCATAAATATCTTTCGATATTTTGGAAACAGTTCACTTCAATTAAAAAAAAAATATTGAGCGTAACATTTGCAGTTAGAGAGAACTCAGCGTTGTTAGACTCTCTCGGAAGATGCTAAAGAAGTGGTGTGGTGAAAGGCTGTTGAAACAGCGTTGTTAGAAGCTCTTGAAAGTTCATTACAGATTCTTGAATGCTGTTAATTTCTTCACAGCTGCTGAAGGTTTTATGAAGTTCTTCGAGGATTTTGAAAGATGTTAAGAGGTTCTTGAAGGCGAAATCTTCTTGGAACATTGTTAAACGTTTTTAATGGTTAAAAGATGAGTCCTGAGGATAGGCTGGCACTCTCAGACTAGGACTCCTGGTTGTTGCTCTGGCCTGTCCAGGTGTTGATTGTAGGTTGTAATAAATGTGAGAGTTCCTGCCTCCCTGATAATTCCCAATGGTTCACTATCTGTGAAAAATTAACTATCTTAGCGCTTCTCGAACTTAGATTTCTCAAATTCTAAATATTAACTTTGACAGCTTTATCAGATAAATTGATTAAGTTTGAACATACAGGTTCTGATTAGAAATTATTACAAGTTTTCACCGAAAAAAAAATTTAATGGTATTTCTACAATATTTTATTTTTGAAACCAGAAATCAATATAGAGGTAACAAAAATATTACACCAACCTAGATTATTCATTATATAAACTATAGGTAATTAATATAAACAGTTATAAACCCACAAAATAAAGGTAGCAGTAATAGGAAAAAGCTACCGGAGCTTTGAGATGTAGTTACCCCGCCACAGTGCGAGTGCTCCAGCGGATGAAGCAACTCCCTTCACATGTCTAACTAGCAGTGCGCTAACTGCTTATCCAGGTGGACACTCGGGTACTAGCGGAACTTAAACCCCTTAATAAAGTTTGACCTCAGGGAGGGATAAGGGCTGCTGAGCAGGTAGCCCCCCAGTCATCATAAGACTGTACTGTGACCTCAGGGGTGCTTGTGGGCCACTGACTGAACAAGTAGCCCTCAGTCACCCCCAAAATCACTCAACAGCATTGGCAGGATTGCACGAATGCATGACTTTAAGCATGTTTCACTTTCTCTTTCTCACATTGTGCCGGCGTGACGAGGTTCAGAGAGAGTCCTATGAGGAAAACACTCCCAAGTAGTATATTGTGTTTAGGGACCTCTTCCCAAGGGTTGTACATAAGAGAATATTTTTAAATTTCAAGCGGACCCCCCGAAGCTACGCCGTACGACCAGCGCCTCGCCAGGTATCTCAGGTGTTAATCCCCATCAACGTCTTGTTTTCTTAGCCTTGGGATTGTTGACGGCGAACCATCTAGGTTTATAGTATGCCGCCAGAAATATATATTTTTTTGTGATTACGCACCGTGATCCCTAGTGCCCCCCTCCCCCAGAATGTTGATCCCCCAACCCCTGCCCTCCCCCTCTAGAGATGATTGCTCATATGCTATGATTGATCAGAAACCCTCCCCCGTTCCTCCATGATTGGTGAGATACTCCCCCTCTCCCTTCCATGCTCTATCCTCAATGATGCTAAATGTGTCCCCGTAATCTCCTCAGTAAAGCATCACTTGTAGTAGTTGTCCCTCTCGTCTGTAGTCATGACTTGTTCTGTCTCTGGTGTTCAGTAATGCACAGCAACAGCGCCCACTCTGTAGTTATAGTCAACTTTTACCTTTATTTTACAAAAACTCTTCTTTTTGCAGCATTGATCAGGGCCATTTACCTAGCTCCTTTCCTTAGCGTGTAGAGGAAGACGCCGTCATCATGGCCCCTGCGCTCCGTCGCACGTACGAGACCCAGACTAACCCACTAAGACCTTTATCTAAGCATCTTCTGCTCATGCAATAATAATTCAATAAGGTTTCCCCAAAAATAAAAGGTCTTCTCGCAGTCCAAGTCTCGGACGTCGAAGGAAAACTGGTTAACCGGTCTTCTTTTATTGCAACACTTTATTTTTCTGCTCATATTATGTGAGATTCGCTCTGTCAAATTTTCATGTGTTTTTTTATATTGAATATATTATAATATATGTCTGTGTGTTTATATGTAATTATGATCATTTTCAATTTTCTTAGAAAAAATAATGAAGCAAATAGTATTAGTCTATATATTTTAATAATTTCATATGAATGTTCTTGTGCTATCTACAGTAAATAGTCCACATAACTATCTCAGACTACTTTGAATAGATTTCTTTCAAATACATTTAGGCAACCCAGTTTCTGGCTAATTTTAAACTTAATTACCACAGCCATGAACAATATTCTCTGTTTTTTTATGCGCATGAGATTACTTTTTTCAGTTTTAAACAATCATAAATTTAGTGGTAATATCTGAGAGGTATAGTTCTTAATTGAAGCATAATTGACTTGTCCATCTGCATTCACATTCAACTGAAGAATCAAAGTAATGAATTACAGTAGACGCCCCATGATGACGTAGAGTACACCCAGCACCAAGTTCTCTAACAGTATCCCCTCCCAGAACCTCACTGAAGCTGCTCAACTAGCCTATTGCACATTGCAGTTGCACTGATACAATTCAATCTTAGACTCGAACCAATTTCTTTTTCTTCTGCCATTTCTGCACAAGTACTTGGGAAGGAGGCGACGAGCTTGACTGGTGAAGAACAGGCCACTTACTCCCTTTCTCCCCCATCATGCTTTTAACAGAAAGAACGCGCGAGAGAAGGAGAAGGACGCGGCGGCCATGTTTGAAACAGCACATATCTTCCAAGAGTATACGTACAAGAAGATCACAGCGTGTGATGTCTGTCACCAGATCCTCAGAGGTAAGCTGCACCCGTCTTCCTTTCAGTATTTACAAGGGTTAAAAAAAAAGTTAGTAAATAGTGTAAATAGTGGTAAAGAATCAAATTAATCAAAAGATTAATCCCTTTCAGAGACTAATCTCTTCGATGAATTAATTTCTTTTATTTTATACTTTATTTTCGCCTTGATGCCGGCGAAACACTGGAAAAAAATTATTTGCAACGAAGAATAATTGTTGGAAAAAACCTCAATATGCAAAACTTGGATATTTTATTTCGGTCCCAAGACCGAAAAGTTTCCAATAAAAATGTCCCAGTGTCTTTGTTTACCTAATAAAATAACCTTTATACAGGGAATTGAAGCCATTTTGTTACATAAAATCAAGACCGATTTGTTTTCTTTGTTAAGTCTTCCCTTACGGTGAGTCACATTGCTGTGTTGGTTACCCCTCAAGGAAGGTTCCTTGATGTTGGTGAGGGGCTCTTGATTTAGGAAATTGGATCTGTGCTCCAGTTCCCCAAATTAAGCCTGAATGCCTTCCACATCCCCCCCAGGCGCTGTATAATCCTCCGGGTTTAGCGCTTCCCCTTGATTATAATAATTGCTGTGTTGGTGTGGTTGTTACTGTGTTGGTGTACTTGTTGCAGTGTTGGTGTGGTTGTTACTCTGTTGGTGTACTTGTTGCAGTGTTGGTGTGGTTGTTACTGGTTGGTGCACTTGTTGCAGTGTTGGTGTGGTTGTTACTGTGTTGGTGTGGTTGTTGCAGTGTTGTTGTGGTTGTTACTGTGTTGGTGTGGTTGTTACTGTGTTGGTGTGAGTGTTACTGTGTTGGTGTGGTTGTTACTGTGTTGTGTAGTTGTTGCAGTGTTGGTGTGGTTGTTACTGTGTTGGTGTGGTTGTTGCAGTGTTGTTGTGGTTGTTACTGTGTTGGTGTGGTTGTTACTGTGTTGGTGTGATTGTTACTGTGTTGGTGTGGTTGTTACTGTGTTGGTTCGGGTGTTGCAGTGTTGTTGTGGTTGTTACTGTGTTGATGTGGTTGTTGCTGCGTTGGTGTGGTTGTTACTGTGTTGGTGTGGTTGTTACTGTGTGTTGGTTGGTTGTTACTGTGTTGGTTCGGTTGTTGCAGTGTTCTTGTGGTTGTTACTGTGTTGGTGTGGATGTTACTGTGTTGGTGTGGTTGTTGCTGTGTTGGTTCGGTTGTTGCAGTGTTGTTGTGGTTGTTACTGTGTTGGTGTGGCTGTTGCTGTGTTGGTTCGGTTGTTGCAGTGTTCTGGTTGTTACTGTGTTGGTGTGGTTGTTCCTGTGTTGGTTCGGTTGTTGCAGTGTTGTTGTGGTTGTTACTGTGTTGGTGTGATTGTTTGACTGTGTTGGTGTGGTTGTTACTGTGTTGGTGTGGTTGTTGCTGTGTTGGTGTGGTTGTTACCGTGTTGGTTTGGTTGTTACAGTGTTGTTGTGGTTACTGTGTTGGTGTGGTTGTTGCTGTGTTGGTGTGGTTGTTACTGTGTTGGTGTGTTGTTACTGTGTTGGTTTGGTTGTTACAGTGTTGGTGTGGTTGTTGCTGTGTGGTGTGGTTGTTACTGTGTTGGTTCGGTTGTTCAGTGTTGTGTGGTTGTTACTGTGTTGGTGTGGTTGTTGCTGTGTTGGTGTGGTTGTTACTGTGTTGGTTGGTTGTTACAGTGTTGGTGTGGTTGTTACAGTGTTGGTGTGGTTGTTACTGTGTTGGTTGGTTGTTACAGTGTTGGTGTGGTTGTTACTGTGTTGGTGTGGTTGTTACTGTGTTGGTTTGGTTGTTGTAGTGTTGGTGTGGTTGTTACTGTTGGTGTGGTTGTTACTGTGTTGGTGTGGTTGTTACTGTGTTGGTGTGGTTGTTTGCAGAGTTGTTGTGGTTGTTACTGTGTTGGTGTGGTTGTTACTGTGTTGGTGTGGTTGTTACTGTGTTGGTGTGGTTGTTACTGTGTTGGTGTGGTTTTTACTGTGTTGGTTTGGTTGTTACAGTGTTATGTGGTTGTTACTGTGTTGGTGTGGTTGTTACTGTGTTGGTTTGGTTGTTGCAGTGTTGGTGTGGTTACTGTGTTGGTGTGGTTGTTACTGTGTTAGTTTGGTTGTTGCAGTGTTTGTTGTGGTTGGTACTGTGTTGGTGTGGTTGTTACTGTGTTGGTGTGGTTGTTACTGTATTGGTTGTGGTTGTTACTGTGTTGGTGTGGTTGTAATGTGCTGGCGTGGTTGTTACTGTGTTGGTTTGGTTGTTACAGTGTTGGTGTGGTTGTTACTGTGTTGGTGTGGTTGTTTCTTGTTGGTGTGGTTGTTACTGTGTTGGTTTGGTTGTTGCTGTGTTGGTGTGGTTGTTACTGTGTTGGTGTGGTTGTTACTGTGTTGGTGTGGTTGTTACTGTGTTGGTTTGGTTATTACTGTGTTGGTGTGGTTATTACTGTGTTGGTGTGGTTGTTTACTGTGCTGGTTGGTTATTACTGTGTTGGTGTGGTTGTTACTGTGTTGGTGTGGTTGTTACTGTGTTGGTATGGTTATTACTGTGTCGGTGTGGTTACTGTGTGGTGTGTGTTGTTACTGTGTTGGTGTGGTTGTTACTGTGTTGGTTTGGCTATTACTGTGTTGGTGTGGTTGTTACTGTGTTTGTGTGGTTGTTACTGTGTTGGTTTGGTTGTTACTGTGTTGGTTTGGTTATTACTGTGTTGGTGTGGTTATTACTGTGTTGGTGTGGTTGTTACTGTGTGGTTTGGTTTATTACTGTGTTGGTTTGGTTGTTACTGTGTTGTGTGGTTACTTGTCGGTGTGGTTGTTACTGTGTTGTGTGGTTGTTACTGTGTTGGTTTGGTTATTACTGTGTTGGTGTGGTTTTTGTGTTGGTGTGGTTGTTACTGTGTGTTGGTTTGTGGTTTTTTACTGTTGTTAGTGTGGTTGTTACTGTGTTGGTGTGGTTGTTACTGTGTTGGTATGGTTTTACTGTGTCGGTGTGGTTACTGTGTTTGGTGTGGTTGTTACTGTGTTGGTGTGTGGTTGTTACTGTGTTGGTTTGGCTATTACTGTGTTGTGTGGTTGTTACTGTGTTTTGTGTGGTTGTTACTGTGTTGGGTGTGGTTGTTACTGTGTTGGTTTGGTTATTACTGTGTTGGTGTGGTTATTACTGTGTTGGTGTGGTTGTTACTGTGTTGGTTTGGTTATTACTGTGTTGGTTTGGTTTTACTGTGTTGGTGTGGTTACTGTGTCGTGTGGTTGTTACTGTGTTGGTGTGGTTGTTTACTGTGTTGGTTTGGTTATTACTGTGTTGGTTTGGTTATTACTGTGTTGGTGTGGTTATTGCTGTGTTGGTGTGGTTGTTACTGTGTTGGTTTGGTTATTACTGTGTTGGTGTGGTTGTTACTGTGTTGGTGTGGTTGTTACTGTGTTGGTTGGTTATTACTGTGTCGTGTGGTTACTGTGTTGGTGTGGTTGTTACTGTGTTGGTGTGGTTGTTACTGTGTTGGTTTGGTTATTACTGTGTTGTGTGGTTGTTACTGTGTTTGTGTGGTTGTTACTGTGTTGGGGTGGTTGTTACTGTGTTGGTTTGGTTATTACTGTGTTGGTGTGGTTGTTACTGTGTTGGTTTGGTTATTACTGTGTTGGTTTGGTTGTTACTGTGTTGGTGTGGTTGTTACTGTGTCGGTGTGGTTGTTACTGTGTTGGTGTGGTTACTATGTTGGTGTGGTTGTTACTGTGTTGGTTGGTTATTACTGCATTGGTGCGGTTGTTACTGTGTTGGTTTGGTTATTACTGTGTTGGTGTGGTTGTTACTGTGTTGTGTGGTTATTACTGTGTTGGTGTGGTTGCTGTGTTGGTGTGGTTGTTACTGTGTTGGTGTTTGGGTTACTGTGTTGGTTTGGTTGTTACTGTGTTGGTGTGGTTGTTCCTGTGTTTGGTGTGGTTGTTACTGTGTTGGTGTGGTTGTTACTGTGTTGGTGTGGTTGTTACTTGTGTTGGTTTGGTTATTACTGCGTTTTGGTGTGGTTGTTACTGTGTTGGTTTGGTTTTACTGTGTTGGTGTGGTTGTTACTGTGTTGGTGTGGTTATTACTGTGTTGGTGTGGTTGTTACTGTGTTTGGTGTGGTTATTATCGTGTTGGTGTGGTTGTTACTGTGTTGGTGTGGTTGTTACTGTGTTGGTGTGGTTGTCTTGTTGGTGTGGTTGTTACTGTGTTGGTGTTGTTACTGTGTTGGTTTGGTTGTTACTGTGTTGGTGTGGTTTGTTCCTGTGTTGGTGTGGTGTTACCTGTGTTGTGTGGTTGTTACTGTGTTGGTGTGGTTGTTACGTGTTGTTTGCTTATTACTGCGTGGTGTGGTTGTTACTGTGTTGGTTTGGTTATTACTGTGTTGGTGTGTTGTTACTGTGTTGGTGTGGTTATTACTGTGTTGGTGTGGTTGTACTGTGTTGGTGTGGTTGTTACTGTGTTGGTGGGTTGCTGTGTTGGTGTATTGTACTGTGTTGGTGTGGTTACTGTGTTGGTTTGGTTGTTACTGTGTTGGTGTGGTTGTTCCTGGTTGGTGTGGTTGTTACTGTGTTGGTGTGGTTACTGTGTTGTATGGTTGTTACTGTGTTGTTTTGGTTGTTACTGTGTTTGGTTTTGGTTATTACTATGTTGGTGCGGTTGTTACTGTGTTGGTGTGGTTGTTACTGTGTTTTTGTGGTTGTTAACTGTGTTGGTGTGGTTGTTACTGTGTTGGGTGGTTGTTACTGTGTTGGTTGGTTATACTGTGTTGGTGTGGTTGTTACTGGGGTTGGTTGGTTATTACTGTGTTGGTGTGGTTGTTACTGTGTTGGTTGTGTTGTTACTGTGGCTGGTGTGGTTTTACTGCGTTGGTGTGGTTACTGTGTTGGTTTGGTTGTTACTGTGTTGGTGTGGTTGTTACTGTTGGTATGGTTTACAGTGTTGGTTTGATTATTACTGTGCTGGTGTGGTTGTTACTGTATTGGTGTGGTTGTTACTGTGTTGGTGTAGTTGTTACTGTGTTGGTGTGGTTGTTACTGT